GAGAGCCCCCAGCACGTGGCTGCAAGTAACAGTGACCCCTCCTCGCCCCTCACTCCCCGTCGCCAGCGTCCCTGGAATCTGGGCGCATGGGCCCCCACTCAGGGAGACTCCAGTGCGGCCTCGCTGATCAGCAGAGCGCCCAGCGCGGGGCCGTCCCGCCATGCCTGGTGCGCATAGAACATTTATTCTGCACTTCGATGGGAAAACGGCTGCCCAAGGGCTAGAGGGCACGCGGCCCGTCCCCCGCCAAGCCACCCAGGGCACCATCCCCCCGGCTGCCTGGCTGCTTGTCGCATGCAGCCGACCTGGAGCTGGTGGCTGACTCCCGCTCAGGCTGGGGCTGGCTGCAGCATCTGTCCCTTAGCTGGGTGCCCGATGCCTGAGCTGCTCTCTGGCCCAGGGGCCAGGCCTCCGCAGGGCGCTGCGTGTAACCCAAGCACTGTCTTTTCTGTCCCTCAGGGCTTCACCTCCACCCCGACCCACTGAGCTGAGCCAGGTGTGGCCGGCCCCAGGAGGCACCTTGCTCTAGGCTAATGGCATGATTTCTGTAAGAGACTCCTTCCCGTCCTCCTCGCATGACCGACTGACTGCAGACGCATGAGCCACAGTTCTTCCTCCGGACGGGACCCCAGGAACCACACGCGCACTGGCCCCCTGGCAGGAGCCTGCGGCTCGGAAGGGCTGCCTGGGCCGGGGGCATCAGCCTCCTGGCATCTCGTGGCCGGGTGGGGGACAGGGGCGGGCAGAGGCGCTGCTCTCCAGGGGCACCCAGCAGGGGCAGGGGAGCGGTTCCCCAGGGGAGCACCCAGCTCCCAGCCGCACTCGGCTCCTTGCTTGTGTGCAAAGCGCAAACTGTACAGTACTCAGCCTTGTGTATATGAACAATCACTACTATGCAACGCCCGCGGGCACGCGGCACCTGCCCCACAGCCCCGGCTCCGCGGCAGGGCCAGGCTGGCCAGGGAGGAGCGAGGGCGGCAGCAGAGTGACAGAGCCAAACAGCCTGGTGCTTTTACGC